GAAGAGCNCTCCGATCGAACAGCTCTGCAAACAGCTCTTCCTCGACGCCATGATTCACCAGGTAGAAGAAACCACACTCTATGCATGCCTGTGTAAATACAAGTATGCAATAATTATAGGGATATATACATACACACACACAAATATAATTCAAGCTAAATTCAATAAAAGAAAAACTAATTTTCAGAGAAATTTGAGGTTTTGGTGTAATATTGGAAGAAGGGAGAGCGAGAACCTGACGGATTGAATTGGCGGAGGAGATGGAATCTGATGAGGACAAGTCAATGATCGGCAGGTTCACCGCCGCCGTCGTCATCTGCTTCCTTACACTTTTTAGTCCTCCTGCTTTTCAAATCTCACGACAAAGAAAATAGCCCCTCGCTCAGTCAGCACTCGACCCTCGCGGGCATTATATATTTTGAAAGAGAAAAATGAGTGAGTATTTGGCTTTTTATTTTGTCTAATGATATTTTAATATAGGTTTTATTATTTTTGAAAATAATATACAATGTTATTTAATTTTTTTTTGGGTTTTATTATTTTTTAAAATAATATACAATATTTTTATGTCAAATCAGAAAACGAGTACATAGAGTGTAATAGTGAGTACTAAGTATTACTCATTCTAAATTACTCTAATTACACTAAGGAAATTCAAATCGGATGCATGATCTATCTGCCACATCTTGTTGGCAGAATAATTGTTCCTTCATACAACTCTGGTACTACATATGGTGACAAACCACTTTTCGCTTACGAATTAACAATATGCAAAAACAAAATCAGAGACCCAAAAATATGTGTGTGTAACTGGTGAGTTCGAAATTGAGTTGAACGTTTCAAATCTTTGCATGCTCTCTATTAAACCAACCACTTCATTTCTTTGTTAAATTCTCATATTTCAATCTTATTGTCATTTTTCTCTATTTTGTCGTAAAGAGTAATGTTAGGAAACCGTCTATTTAAATCATATTTTGTAAATTATATGAATACTCAACTATTGATTAAAATGTTTATTTCCGAGTGCTCAAATAATTTACAAATGTGATCTAAATAGTTGGTCCACCTAGCATTACTTTTCCGAGTACAAAATACTCAATCACTGACTGTCATAACCCAGTTCCGTCTTCGTCGTAGCACGATATTGTCCGTTTTGGGCCCGGCCACTTCCTCACGGTTTTGTTTCTAGGAACTCACACGAGAAATGCTGTAGCCCAAACTCGCTTAACTTCGGAGTTCTGATAGAATCCAAAGTTAGTGAGTTCTCAAAAGGTCTTGTGCTATAGGAGGAGCATGTACATATAAGGCACATCACCCCTTCTATATTGGTCGATGTGGTATGTTACACTGATGCCTTGGTATTAGCGTCTATTAAATTAGAGAGATACATCGAGGACAAACTAAAAATTATTTTCTGTCAAGTGAGCATTTATCATTCCGATAAAAGGAACGTATTTAATGTTAAACTTGAGCTCCAAAATGTTGAAACTACAAAGACCTTTCTTTTCTTTTTCTTGAGATGAAGTATGATATTTATTGAATAGTGAAATACATACAAAATCGAGGGTAGAGTGCTTATAGAGGGCCTCAATAAAAACCTTGCGGCAGCTTTCAACCCGATCGAAGGGAAAAAAGAGTGTTCCGCACCAAAATTAACGACTAGTACTATCTTTCGTGTTCCGCACCAAAATTAACGACTAGTACTATCTTTCAATAATAAATCTGAAATTACAGCAAGAGGTGCTTCGAACCAAGAAACTGGGTGATTGATAGTTAGACTAAACCCTGCAAGGCGATGGACCGCTTTGTTCATATCTCTTCGACCAAACGAAACCTTCCATTGCTTGAAGCTTTGAAGAACATGCCGTGTATCCGCAAACAGATGGCCATAATGACCATGATGCGCTGCACCTGCATTATGGATTGCAGATATCACCATAAGAGCATCCCCCTCCACCTGCACCTGTTCCGTTCCCCAGTACCGTAAAAATAGAGCTGATGCTCGTGCAGCAGCAGCCTCTACATGCAATATAGACACTGGCTATGTATTTTTTTAGTAATTTTAAAATCGTCATAATATTTTTTTCTTCTTATTACGGGGTCAAAATTGGTTACTCACATGTAAACCTGTTATTAACTGACGACCCGATTAGTCATCTCAAAGATGTTACTTAATATTACTTAATATTATAAACATTGATTTGCTCGACAAATCTGGGTGACTGAACGATTTTGAAATTGAAAATGTTTTAAACGTTGATTTGTTCAACACATCTAGGTGACCAAACAATTTTCAAATCGAATGAATATTCTAAAGATGATCTTTAAAATAATGATAAAGATAATGAACAATTCTGATGATAATGTTCATACGGTGAAACATTGTGACATCGCCATATAAAAAAAGGAACAAGTATTAGTACTCCTATTTCTACTATTGAAGAATGTTGCAAGTTCAAATCCCTGCCAAAATTACTAGACAGAAAATTAATATTCATCTTTAAGCAAAAAATAATATTGCTGCTTAGTATTACGGTTTTAGTAGTATCCCTCTTCACTTATAAGTGATAGATCTTAAGTTCGATTCTCGCAAAAAAAGAATTTGAACCACATTATTGATAGCCCAGTGTGAGGCTTAATTCATTCCCCTACCCCTTGGTATGGATAATATCATTTTTATTAAAATATATATATATATATATATATATATATATATATTATTAAATCTGATTGTGTTTCCATTGACCAGTTGATCTAGCATAACCCATCTCCTCTTTGTTAGAGGAGATGATGGTTTTAAATTTCATCTGCCACATGGTTGAATTACTCGATATCACTAAACATGGTGCAACCAAAATTCAGTCTCCAAATTCCTTCGATATTATTCTTCTCAATCCATGAAAAAAAGTACACAGAATTTCAACATGTTTATAATAAAAGCGCTTCTGCCACAAGCGCTTATGAGTTGAAGTGCTTTTTAGAGAGACAATCCCAAATGGGCCCCTTGGTCACCAACTCAATACCAACAATAGCAATTTGTTTCCAGTGGAATTATGAAACCAGGATTTGTGAACTATTTGATTATAAAAGCAGTTTATCACCACACCATAAAAGCATCATCATGTACTGCAACTGCAAAAGACAGACCTTTTAAGTTGCATACGTAAGCCGAAAACGCTCTTCCAGGTAGTCCCCGCTGCGGACGGGAGGAAATCTGCAAGCAGAATTGGTAAATATTATCTACAGGGTAAATTGATCGAGCTACCAAACCAGTGTTTATAGAGTGGACCAACAAGGACGTTGGACACGAAAGCATGGTGATTTTCAGGCCACCAATGTTCTCATGTATAACATACAAAAAGATTTTCGGTTTTGTAAGCACAAGTTCTACGTCATGACATTTAGCAAAGCCTAACTATGACAGAGGTAAGCTAAAGCACTGTGTTAGGGTAACTGGAAATCAAATATGACACCCAAGAGGATAGTCATATTGCGGTTTATACCTTGCCGGTGATTCTTCACTGCAACAACTTTTCAGACATTCCACCACACAATCTTCATTGGGATCCATGAAGAAAGCCACCTGCAAATATTGAGACGTTTTTATTGTGAAGTACAGTCAGTATTATGAAAACCAAATAAAAATGGAACAATTGGTAAATGATTACGGAGTAGCGTTCTTGTCCTGCTGGCATCACTCTATGCAGTGTTGACCTACAAATAAATGACAGATGGGAAAATGTCTGCAGTCCTCAGAGTCCTAAATTTTAAAACATGTATAACCACTGTAAGAAGAAAATAACCTCAAAGTTAATAAAATGAAAAATTACCTGAACAAACAATTAGTCCACCTCTCCATCATGTCCCCAATGTTGACAATGAATGCCCTAGAGATTCAAATTTTTTTAATACCATCAGAAGGACAAAGTTACCGTTCGGTTATTCACAAACGCACTCTAGTAAACATGTAAGATGCCCGTAGGAAAACCAAAACAAAACACTGTTTCTAATGAATGGTATAAAAGTAACACAGCTATAGCGAGCTCTGAACTTTTAACCTCATGACCTAAATGTTCTCTATCTAACAAAGTGAATGGAACTCCATATCCATATTTTTCTTTTTTGAGGAAGCATTTCCATATTTAAACATCATATTGCATTACATTGTTGTATAGGGTCTTCCACATAAATGATTGAAGAATACAAGGGCACAAAATTATTTTAACAATCATATCATTGTTTCATGAAAATTCAAGATCTTGAATTTACCCATCTATGTGAAGAACATCTTCCCAGATTCGAGGTTGCTTAGATTTGTCCCTACAAACCTGTCAATTGTTAACAAGAAGTCACAGAAAAGAATATCATAATTGAGCTTGAAAGGGAACCACTAGGTGTTCGGTGCTAACAAAATCTAACAAACAAAAAGCATGCCTGAAGTCCAGGAACTCCATTGGATGCAAGGAGAGTGACCATGCCATAATCTGAATGAGCAGAAGCACCATATATTTCTTCGTCAGTTGATCCCAGCTCACCTGAAATCATGCATACCAAAACCATGAAAGCGAAGGAAAAAAAAAAAACAATAAAATACAGAAGATCAAACATATAAGAAATATTATTCAATAAATTACGAACACAAGAAAAGAAAAGGAGTGCTATATTTTAGCTGAAGAGTGCTACTACACCTGGATAGTGCAAAAGTCGAAGAAGACCCCTTGGTTTATTCAGTGCCCCCACTTTCTCGAAAAAGTCCTCATCCAGGTTTAAAGCCAGGGCAATCAGAGAGATTAATCTTTTTCCAGCAGACCTGAGACAGCATATCCAACACCAGAAATTCGTAGATGGGTGGTGCTATCCACACACCCCTCTCAATTTCCGGCCATTGGATCGAATGAATTGAAGAAGATCAATGGACAAAAATTGACAAGGGTGTATGGGAGGTAAAAAAGGGTGTGTGAATAGCACTACCCTTCATATGTATACATATACGTTTATAATGAAAAGCTCCTAAAAAACTATCAATTATCATTCCTGAACAACAGTTCTTACTTTACTAAATGCAGAATGCTGGGAAGTAAATTGTTACAACGGAGAATAGAACTTACAGGACTTTTCTATAGTACAATTCCATTGCAGGCCTCCAAGATGGCAGGATATCTGTACATTTTCTCCTCAACGAAAAATTAAGAAATTATGACGTAATCAAATGTAATACGGTACTCAACATCAAAAATTTCATTGTCAGGCAAGCTACCACACTTAACATTTGAAAATAGCTCCCATACCTTCTGGAGGCCATTGGTTCAAATTAATCAGAGTTGGGTCATCTAAAGAGCCAACATAAAAACTCTCTTTCGAGTCACCTATTTCACAGCCGACCCAAAAGAGATAAAATCAACATCCTTTCCCCTTTTCCATTCAGCACAACTTGAAAACTAAAGTAAGGCAACCAAGCACAACAGTTTAATAGATAGTACCTGAAACATTTTTCGAATATCACTATTCAGAATGTTAACAAGAACATTAACGCAACAAATTGTAACTTCGACCAACATGTTATGTACATTATAATGAATTCATCAATGAACTACATATTTTATTTATTAAGAAAAAAAAAACAAGTAAATAACAATGGAATATCCAACTTATTACTTATCCTGATCATTTCAAAACAATTGCAGAAACCAGGCATGGTATGATCATTGTACACTAAGCCATTTTTTAGTTTAACCTCCCTCCATTTGGTTTCTTATATTTACACTTAAATCACCAAATTTTAAGTTTTTAACTTTGTAAGCAAAAAGATTTAAAGAAAAGATGAAATGGTAGGATGATTAGCAACCTTTGGAGCTGGAAGCGAAGTCGAGATTCTCCATAAATAGTGGGGTGTAGCCTCTGTGGTGCTTGCGAGTCAATTTCAACTTATCTTCCAGAGGAAGCGAAAAGAAGTTGCGGCTCCGATCGAACACCTCTGCAAACAGCTCTTCCTCGACGCCATGATTCACCAGGTAGAAGAAACCATATTCTATGCATGCCTGTGCAAATACAAATAAGCAATAACTACAGGGATATATGCACACACAAGTATAATTCAAGCTAAATTAGATGAATGAAAAACAAATTTTCAATGAAATTTGGTGTACTATTGGAAGAAGGAGGACACAGAGAAGAGAACCTGACGGATTGAATTGGCAGAGGAGATGGAATCTGATGAGGACAAGTCAATGATCGGCAGGTTCACCGCCTCCGTCGTCATCTGCTTCCCTTACTTTTAGTCCTCCTGCTTTTCAAAACTCAGTCGACACTCGACCCTTACGGCCATTATATTTTTGAAAGAGAAAAATCAACTTTTAAATCATATTCTAAATGGATAATACTTGGGTGGTTAATAAGTACTCGCTTTTTTATTAAGAAGTGTTATTGACATTCTAAAAATTTCATTCTACATTCTTCACAATTATATTTTTTTCCAAAAAATAGACACGTTTTTTAATATTGTTTTGGGCTTTTGGTGTCATTTTTTTATTGAGACAAATCAGAGAATGAGTATTACACATTTTAAATTACTCTAATTGCTAGGGAAATTCAAATCGGATGCAAGATCTATCCGTCTCATATTGTTGGCTGAATCATTTCTCTCCTCATAAAACTCTTGTACCATATACCATGACAAATGCACTTTTTACTTATGGATTAAACAGTACGCAAAAGCAAAATCAGTTACCCAAAAAATATGTCTGTGTGACCAGAGAGTTCGAATTTGAGTTCAAGGTTTCAAATCTTTGCTAGCTCTCTATTAAATCAACCCTTTGAGTTCTTTTTTTTTTTTTGTTAAATTCTCATATTTCATTCTTATTGTCATTTTTTCATAAACAGTAATGCTAAGGAGACCGTCTATTTAAACTTGTTGATGCACAAAATCAGCGAGGACTTTGGTACAACAGAAAGTGTCAGGTTTGTGACCTTCGCTTGGTTGCTTCGATCACTAGTGAAGATAAGTACGTAAATGAATAGGTACAGGGAAGCAAACACAAAATGTACGTGGTTCACCCAGATCGGCTACGTCCACAGAGTAGAGGAGTTCTAATTAATTGTGAAGGGTTTACACAAATACATAGGTTCAAACTCTCATTTTGTGAGTTATAGTGAATAGTTTAGTACAAAATGACATTAGAGATTATTGTGGGAGAATAATCCCTATTTATAGAAGAGAGTTTCTAGTTTTGTTCTAACATTGACACGTGTCGTGTTGTGATTGGCTTCTGATGTTGACACGTGTCGCGCTGTGATTGGCTTCTGATGTCGACACGTGTCGCATTGTGAGATTGGCCTTCTGGTTGAAAGGAAAGCTCTTTGGGTCCTGACCGGTATAAGTTGACCGGTGCTCAGTAGTTTAGGGATTGGTCAAGTATGGTAACAACAGTGCTCCCCTAAGTCTCCGACGTGAGGGAAACTCCTCGGTTTGGGACTTACAGATCCAAGGTCCATTGAGTAATCCCAGAAATGTCTAAGTACGAAGTGTGGTATGCATTGTTCACGTCCTTACTCTGTTATATGTAGACTGTGGAGTTTCTCTGGAAGTACTTTTCTCCATCCATGCGGTGGGCTATCTTTAACCGTGATGCCAAGGTAAATGTATCAATTCAACTTCGAAGCCTTACTTGTAGTTTCTTTGGGCTTGGGTCAGTGCTGATAACAAACCCTATAGTAGAGTCCCCAAGTCGCGCGAGCTAGGGGATCTCCGAAGAGATGACAGACAAGGAAGCAGTAACTTCCAAGCAAGCCAACCCAGGATGGAGGTTGCGACTTCGGCTTCCGGTTGATTGTTTTCTTCTCTTGTTCTCATCGTCAGGCTGCTAGATAAGGAGAAGCAAAGGAGAGAGATGATATGAGTACTTTGCTTTTGAATAAAGTATTTCCACAGGCTTATTCTTGAACTTGCTTGGAGGGGTTTTTCTGTTCCCTTCAGAGTATATAGGCCGACTCAAGAATTGAGGGGAACAAAAGTCCATAAATCTAGAGTATCGTTCGACCTTGATCGATTATGGGATACTTTTGCTGTGACGGTAGTGAAATGTGGTATGGAAAGGTTCATGCTGTAGTGATCTGTTTTAGCCACGTTGAACCTTTTTGCTTCAATCTTTTGCCATGCAGAAGTGGTGTGGCAACTTTGCATTTAAATTGTCCTTAGAACATTCTTCTAGTGACTCATCCACGCTTGGCAGCTTCAGTGTTAGGAGCCATATCTGATCAACTGTCATTGAGGTATTTGCCGGTGGGAATTCATGACACTTGAATAGCAGTTGAGGATGAGTTTAGAGAGCAATGCTAAAGTAAGCAACAGGCAAAGGTTTCAGGCAGCAGTTCTAGATTGGAGGTTTGATTTCAGGTTCCGACTGAACTACTTCTCTTTGTCTCCTCGTCTTGCAGGTGTGGACAAGGACAAAGCAAGGACATGGAGACAGCATGATATGGATACTCTTGCTTTCGACCCTGATGTTATGAGAATACTCTTGTTCTTGGCGTGGCTTATTCTGCCTGAGGTATTATCGGGGGAAATAAGCCTAGTGATTTTCGAGAGGTTATGTGAGGGTGCTTCTCTGAATGCGAGAAAGGGTTGAGCATTTTTGCAGGTTTGCCTGTTCGTGGAGGAGGAGGTCGACGTATATAGGGATTTTCCATAGCAAGTGTAAATGTTTTATTCCTTTACCCTTATTGGTTACAGCAATGTAGTGGGAGCTGTCAGTTCACGTGTTTTAACTTGTCAAGCTTTTGAAAAAGTGGTTATGTGGTAATCTGGAAAGCTGATGTTGCGTGTAAAGATTACAGACTGCTTTATCTAAGGAAATTGGCTCTCGAAGTTCTGAGAGTTGTGCTCTTCGTTTAAACAAGCATCCGTCGGGGATCTGCTTTCGAGATTCGGAAAGCGATGCCGCTTCGGTTTTTGAGAAGTAATTATGTTGGGAGTCATTTCTGCGATGTGAGTAAAGGATTGGACGTTCCTTGCCAGCCTATCTTGCCAGCGAACACGAGGTCGACACACATAGGAACTTTCCAGTTTGTCAAGCAGAGTGGTTGCTGTTCCTTTATCCTTGTGCGGTAATAGTAGGGAGCTGGAACTTCGAATTCTGTGCCTAACTTGTCAGAATCTTGGCAAAGGTTATATGTGGTAACCGAGGATTTCGATGGTGGCGTGTTGGAGAGTGAATGATTGAAACAGTAGATTCAGTGTTTTCTACTTCACTAGATATGTCCTATTCGTCGTGAGTGTGCATGTGATAGGTCTCGGAGCTGTGTGAGTTTGCTTCTTCGATTTCTGAGATCGCCTAGGTTCTGAGCAGCCAGCTTTTTGCAGAAAGCAGAGCGCTCTCTTCCAGATTTCTTGGGAGATCGGCCTCGTGTCTCTGAGCAGCTCAGCTTTGAAGAAGCAACGCCTCTTCGATCTCTGAAGCTTCGTCGGAATGCAGATTTTTATAGAGGCTGCATTAATTCCACAGCAACTTGAATATCCACCAATGAAGCCTACTTCTTGACTTCTAGAGTTTAATTGTCTTACTTCCCTCTTCAACACCTTTGAAAATGTTGGCCCCTCCGACCGTCGTTTTGATTCGAACCTTGGAGAAGAGACAGTCATGCCTTCCTAGACAACATAGGGCCCCATTCCTTCATATGCCCTACTTGGTCTCTTACCCGTTGGGATTTGTGATGAAGAATGATAGATGTGCGGTATGGCCAGGAACCTTAACTCAACTCCCAAAGATACAGACTACTTTCCAAACGGTCTGATGAGTTTGTGTTAGATTCCTTGGCTCTTAGTATTCAGTGTGCCAGGTTCTGTGTCTAATAATGGCCCCAACGCCTAGTTATACTAGAACCTCGCCAAGTTGGAATCATTGGCTGCTGAGTGATAAGTCTCAAAACGGGATTAGAGGGGCTCAGCATGAGAATAAAATTGCACCGTTCGCACATGACTATGCTACATATGAAGAGGAAGCTTGATCAGATGAAGGAATCTGGATGGTCAGGTTTTCACTTTGATCATCACAGTTTGTGGGTCTTGTTCCAAAGGTTTTACGCCCGTCGGTCTTCTGAGGCCCTGTACCGCGTCTCACAAATGAATACCTCCAATGCCTCCTCATCTGGGGTTCTGTCCAGTACTGAGCGCTCCGGATAACCACCTCGGTGCTTTCTCTTTTCTGGGGCTCTACCGACTGCTAGACTTCCCCTAAGCGACCTTGTGAAGGCTCCCTCTTATTTGTTTTTTTTGATTCAATGTATATGGTACTATTTGTTAGTCATCGGCAATATTATAAATAAGCTTTGTTCATTTCAACGTATTAAATTTAAATACACCAAGCCTTCTTCAGAAAGTCTCTGAATTTTTTCTTTTGTTGAACTTGTATTGTGAAGCTTTGTGAGTGAAGCATGGTAGTTGAGGTAGTGTTCCCTTAATTTCCCGAGTGGAAGGAAAACTTCCGGTTGGAGGCTTGAAAATCCAAGTCATTTGAAGTGGTTGTGAGACTTCCGAGTATCAAGGTACAGTTAGGCGTAAGGTGGGTAGCAATATGGTGGGAAGTCCCGTCCTTCAGACGAGGAGAGTTGCCGAATGAGGTGTCTTGCTTGTTATAGATTTGTCAAGTAACGAAGCATTGTTTTGATGTCACACTTCATATATCCCATCTAAATATTTTCAACTTTTTGTGTTTGATGCTGATGCTACTGACTAGAACAGATAAGTGAATTAGTAAGCTTTTTCTCTCTTTTTGATGAGCATGTGTCCTACACCCTTTCTATTTTTTCTTCTTTTTCGTCTTTTTCTTTCTGTTGGAGCTTGCCCTTCATTGCTGTTTACTTTTTTTTTTGGTGAATCTGTTTTTGTTTTAATAGGTGGTAATACACCATTCTCTATAGTCAGACGCAAAGTCCGTCTCCATGATAAGTTTGTTCCTTAATCTTGTGAACTCAACATATCCAAATTGAGATCCATCGGAGTAGTACACACTCCAGATATTAGGTATGATTAGTAACTTTCATCATTTTCTTTTAACGTCCAGCTTGTTGTGAGCTTCGAAACTCCAGTTTATCTGTTCAGCTCAAACATATTTCTTCATAGAGTTGTCCTCACCTTGTGAACTACAGGTATCCAAATTTGGATCCGTCGGAGTAGTACAACTCCAGATAATTCAGGTTGATGAGTGACTGGTTCTCATTTTTTCTGTTACTCCTCAGACTTATTGTGAGCTTCGAAACTTCATTTTCTCTTGTTCAGATCAACATACTTTCTTCATCAAAGTTTCTCCTCATTCATCTCTTCATAACATATCAAAAACTTCAAA